CCGTACTCATTTTTCAGAGGATTGCTCGGGCTGTAGTTGTCTCGCATGCACACACACACACACACACACACACACACACACACACACACACACGGTTGTCATTTGGAGATAGTTCCCACCATCTTGCATAAGAATTGCTCTCATGTTAATGGGAGTGTGGAGGCATATCAAGGGCAGACAGGAAACCAGTGATGCATGTAATGCTGATAAGAATTCCTCTCAACTTCTTCTCAGCGCCGCAGCAAGGAATTATAAATGAACTATCTCTGTGTTGCCTTGAGTGTGTGGTTATTGATTGTTTTTGCATATAGTTTGTTTTTTTCCCCCAAAACAAAACAAATTGGTAAAAAAATTATGCAGTGGAGGGCAATTTAACACAGTTAGCTCAAACGTAAAACAGAACGAGAGAAGAAATAAAGAATTAAGCAACTTTTTGAGATTGCCAAACCTTTTGACATTATAATTTTGAAATGAAAAGAAAAGAAAAAGTTTCACAGAAACGATGAAATGTGTCTTAAATATGAGTYTGACTTGTGATTAGTGTCACTGAAAACCAGCACAGTGAATGAATAAAGTTCGCTTGAAAGGCTGAACCTAAATTGCTGAATTTTTTTCTGCTGTGGGCAGAATGGTGGCCATAAATTTATCTTTTSTGAAGTGAGAAAATTGGTATGCACTGCAACAAGAAAAACCTGAATTTAACCAAATGTTTTTGGCACAGATAAAATTGCAGGGTCTGTCTGCAGCTGTTAATGCATTCAAAAATAACAGCCTTGTCTGATGTCAGCCTGATGGGGTTTTATAGCTATTTTTCATCAGGTAGGGTGTGCCTTGTCTCCTATGCCACTGCAAAATGTAAATTAAGAGAAAGAAAATGTTTCTTGAATGCAGAAAGAAACAAAAATGACTGAAAAACTCAATTTACAAATGTCTGAGGAAATTTATCTTTACCAAAGCTCCGAGCTAAAGACTAATGTAAAAAAGTTTAACAACTTGAGTAAGAAAGAGGGATGTGTTAGGAGAAAATTTAAAACACTTCTTTAAGACATCAGTATTAATGCATGTGTTTTTATATGTATGGTTTATTATAAAATCCAATTAGGGGAACAGAATCAATACAAAATATTTAGTAGCATCAAAGTGATAAATTTATGTCTTTGAGCAGATATGTTAGTACTTTCAATTAACACTGGCTACCATTTTAAACAGTTGCTCATCTTGAATGTTTGGCCATTGAATCAGGTTGTGTGGAAATATTCAACAACATAATAAAACTTGTTGAGCCAGACAAATTAGTTTATTTGGAAGATGCACGTCTCAGTAGCAAAATAATGTGTTTTATTATTTTGGCAAATTAAAAGAGTAGTTGGGTCATTTTTAAAGTGACGTTCTGGTAAATATTTATTAATAGGCAAGGCCATGGCAGTCATGACAGCAGTCATGGAGTGCAGAGTATGAAGGAAAAGATAGAAATCAATATCCAGGCTAGGCCTCATCATATTTTTAGGTTTATAAAATAACTCTTTCAACAATCTGCAGATGTGGAAAAAGGCTAATTAATTAATTCATTATTCCAACGTGTTTCTGCTTTCATCCTGCCGACAACGCCAATTTCTGTCGTCGCATGAAAGCAGAAACACGTTGGAATAATGCCAGAAAAGTCTGCGTGTATGGTGGTAAATAATGATTTAATTCTGAGCGACAACCAGACAGGACTCAATCAGGAAGCTCCRTCKGCCTGTYGCTGRCACGTCAGCGGACAYAGCCAATAATAAACACCATGATAACATCATATGAYGTGCTTATAACCAATCACAGATCGCCYAATGTACTGTCCAGCCAATCACAGGGCTCCCAGCTCAAAGAGTSTCTTATCAAACAAGAGAGTTCAGTCCGTTGCRGASTCCTGACGTCTGGACAAACAGATTAACATTGAACATGTGAAACAGATAGATAATTAGTCCAAAACAAGCTAATAAACCATTTTTGCATGACACCATTTCTCACATTTATTTCAGGTTTTTTAAACTTGGAATTCTATAAAGACTAAGCCCTTATTTGGCTAGCCATTCGTGTAGCCTGGAGGAAGACTGCAGGCTCTGAGATCTATGATTGATGTCACGGGAATGAACAGGTGAAAACTATTTCACAAAACATCACTTTGAAAACCTTCACACTACCTCTTTAATGCCTTTTAGTCCTGTTTTGTGTCTGCTTAAATTCCTCCTGTATTCTGTAAAACAATGGACAGGTGGTACGCAGCAAGTGCGACAACTTAGCAATTAGGAGGCTGATGCTAAACTTTGCCCGTGTGAACACTTGTTCAGAAGATAATCATGTATAGCACATAAAGAATGCAGGAGGATCTTCCAGAGTCATTTTTAAAAAAATGTTGGGAGGTGGACAAACTGCGCATGAAGACGCCACAAAGCTCCCAAAGCTGACTCGCTGCCAAATTCTGAAGTATAGCAGCCTTGAGAATGGGAGCTAATGCCTCTTGCTTTTGGCTCATTAATGTAAATGCTACTTTCACACTTCACTTACATGGCGTTGTCGCCCAGCTCTTCATACAGGTTGTTAGCAGTGCCTCCCCCAGGTTTGCCTGTTGGCAGAGCCATCTGGATTCGAGCGGTTTTGGCACACTCTGCTTGGCGCCTGGTAGCAGCAGAGAGCAAACACGGCATTTGTAAAATAATATAAAACGGGAGCAAATGTAAAGTGTAACTAAAACTATTTTAATCAAGACATAACAGTCACACAATAGTTTATAAAAGTCAATACTTAAAAAGGAAAACTGTAAAATGGTGTGGTGCTTTTAAAATCAGTATATAAATGACCAATAAATTTCTTCAAATGCACAACCTCAAAAAACAAAGTTTGCCTTTATCGGGATGAGACATCTAGAGTCTCATTTTGTTCTATATGTTGCAGGTATTCAAAAAATATACTGTACTTAATATACAGTATGCTAGTACATGTTGTGTACGTTAATAAATAGGATGGTATAGGGATCTTTTAAATCTAGTTCATTTCCACTCATGCTGATTTTGTACCAGTTATTGCTAACTTTTTTGATAATGTGTCATTTCACATCTCAAAGTTGTTTGACTTCTTGTGTTTTATGAATCTGTTTAGTAATCTCTTCATGTCATACACTGTAGTAAATGTTTAGGTCTCATTCTCTTAAACACTGAATTTCAAGTGTTATTTGTCGTAGACTACAGCCCACAAACACGTCCTGACGACTCATCAACATCAACAACATAAACAACAATAAGCAAAGGGATAGTCTGGTGATTTTTAAAGTGATGTTCTATCGAATATTTATCATTAGTTGGTACCTTGTCAGTCGTGACATCAGTCACAGAGCTCAGAGTATGAAGGAAGAACAAAAGTCTTCATCCAGGCTAGGCTAAAAGCTAGCCAAGTGAGGGTTTTAAAAACAATTCTTACTCTAAAATGTCACACTGATGTCAAAATCATTGCTCTGTGACTGATGTYGCAAACCATAATGTCCTATTTATAACAGAAAACTACTTAAAAATCACCAGACTATCTCTTTAGAAATACAAATTTAGTAATATAAAATATAACARTGTCTAATTATAGCTCATTTTTACCACATCCTGCTGAAATGAAAGATCATGCAGCCGCACAACTTTCACTTTAAATACTTGAAATAACAGATTCCAATATGTGAACAAACTAACACACAGTCATAAAAGTGTCTGTCTTGGCAGAATTTGATAATCTTCAATAATTAGATCTTAGATTGTTTGCTGACCACCTCCTTTCACAGCTCCGTCTTAATTTGTGCCTTTTTTTGTACAACGAAAGCAAACAAATTAWTGCCAGTTAAATGTGTTTGAGACAGCTATGACATTATTATTATTATTAAAAGGGATACTCACTCTTTGAATCTGCGACAGATGATGCAGCAGATGAGACAAAGACAGATTAGTGATTATTTGAAGCATAAATCACAGAGCACCTTTTGTTATCCAAGTGTACTTATCGTAATTTACAAGCAAAAACACACAATTGCTCTTCATTAAAGTAATTTAGCAGCAGATAGTAGTGATTATCAAACTAATGATTACTGCTGTGTTTTTCTCTCTGCAAATCTCGCATCCTCAGCCTGCTGTTTGTGTGTGTGCGTGTGTGTGTGTGTGTGTGTGTGTGTGTGCGTGCGTGTTTCTCAGCAGGATGAGAAGCTATCGCCAAAACTCTCTGAATCTATTCAATGTGGGCACATAGTTGTTTAAATTACAAGAATTTAATAGCCGTTCAACGTGGTTAGAAGAAACTGAAACAACTGTGGGGCCATGCAGAATCACCTTGCCCAGTGGTAATAAAATGAGCTAAAACAGGATAAATATAGACATGATAATTATTTCTCAGGCTTTATTTGTTGTGTTTTATGAAATAGCTCAAAGGTTACTCAGACATGAGTAAGGCGGCATAGTTTGGGACTATTTTTAGCTATGGMTCAATACATCATTAGGGCTGCAAATAGACTAAGACAGAATTAACGGCAGTAGGATCAGATGGATAGTTTAGGTATTTTTAAATGAGATGTGTTTATATGTAAGCCAATTAAGGGGTGCAGCTGTGTAACATTCTACAAAYGTGATCATTACTACAACAGTTTTGTTGCAAATATACACACATAAAACTGTACTTACTGTTTGTAGGTGATCATGACGATGAGTATGGCAGGAACACAGCAGATGATGATGATAATTGCCAGAGCCAGGAGGGCCCCCTCTGTGTAGCCCACACTCTGCATGGCTTTCTTCACGCTGGTCACCACCTCGGGGGTTGTGATTTCCAAAATCCGTCCACCGGGAGGGAGAAAAGGCTGGAACTCTTTGTTGATGTCCAAAAGCTTTCCATCTATAAACCTTGAGAGGAACAACATGGAGTAAACAAGACSGAGACAGTTATCACTGTGGAAGAGAAAGCAAAGCCAGCATTGATCTTTCAGCTACAAGATGGAAACACATGTGGCTAAAAACTGTCAGTGAGTGAACTTGTTTCAGAGTTCAAGCACACGAGTGCAATTTAAGTCAGTCATGCTGTTGCACCTGCAAATACTCCTGAAAATTTATTTTTGATTTAAACATCAACAAACCTGGCTGTACAAGATAACTTACAAAAGCACAACCGGTTATTACCAAAAAGCAAAATGTTGCAGATTTGATTCTTTTATTTTACATCATCCAGCAATTGTAAACAACTTGTATAATTTTAATATATATGTGTATGTATGTATGTATATATATATATATATACACACTGTATATACACTGTGTATATATATGTATATATATATATATATATATATATATATATGTATTTTTGTTAGAAGTTCTAGCTCCGTTTGCCCTAACAGTTGGTCATACCCCAGAATAGATTCAGGGGTATTCAGCTTTGAATTTGATAATTTAATTCATGGTCATTCCAGCATTCAAATCATCTAATAAAACGCTCCAACTGATGCCCCCCAAAAAAGACATCCCTTACTCACAAAAGTTTGTGCATTACGGAGAAACCGTTTTTTTGCCTTTTTTTTTTTTTAGATCTTATAAAACCTAGCTAGACAGTGAGTCTTTGACTCATCACAGGTTTACTGGTAAAGTTCATACTTGAAGAGCTCTTGTCTGGAAATAGCTCTGTTTGTCAGCGGGTCGATGGCATAAATCATGAGGTCTGACTTGCTGTAATCTTCCTGCTCTGTTCCGTCAATGGTTCGATGAGGCCCGATGGCTTCCACGACAACTTTGGCTCCGACTACCTGCTCCTGGACGTAGCGCTCCAAAATGCTGAAGAACAAAAACAATATATGACCTCAGTTTATATATATATGAAACTGAGGGCAACACCACGAATATCTTGTATTTTACTGGTAAGGTTTTGAAAAGCATAACACAAACAGCTTGAGATGGGAAGAAACCAACTGAAAACATAAGCAATAAATAAAAAAATATGTAAAGATCAACATGGTGAACTAAAAAAACACTGAAAATACTGTATATAATCTAAGATAAACATTGCATCCAATCCTATTTGATAAGTTCAACTCCTCAATGTCTTACAGAGAGAAAACAACAAACACATTCATGTTTTCCATGTGGATGTTTTGTCCATTTTGTCATTTTGTCCACTTTCTGTTTCTGTGTTCTGAGTGAAATTAAATTCTCTTTAAATATTAAACCATGTTCTGTATTTTCTCATGTAGCAGTGTTGTATTAAAGCTAATGTAAAAAGGTTTTTGGATGAAGTGAGGCAGTTGGACTAAACGTGTTATTTTGAATCATTTTGTTGTGACTCGTGCTGCCTAGTTGTGGTGCTTTATATTAATTGGTCCTTATCTCGGCTTCCTAAATCCTTCTCCACTCTCACCCACAGAAAGCTTCACCCTGTCCCCAGCTGACAAGCTGAAGCACCCTGGGCTAAAAGCAACAGCTTGTCGTTTGGTGATCCCAAACCTGTAGTGTGTCTGGTCTTGGAAATGATTCAGTTAGCATTTAATCTGATGGAAGAAACAAGCTCATCTTCACAGATGAGSTATTTTCCATCCTCCAGGCTTGGAATGTAATGATCCAACACTGATGATTTGCACATACCAGGGTAAAGAACGAGGAAAACAACAAAAACAGCATAAAAAAAGGGGGAAAAAAAAGGTGCATAAAGACCTGTTTATCTGTGGAACATGGGGTTCTGACATTATTCTTGCTTTAAGCATAAAAAGCAATTGTGATGAGATCTGATTCAGGAAATATTTATTAAAATGACCGTGAGGTATGCAGTTTTATTTCAAAACACTTAAAAAACTTAAGTCTTAGTTCATATTTGCTACTTCATTCATCACACATTTGTTGGAAACTATTATATCATTAACAATACAGTTTTAATAAAGATGTTTTTATTTAATCATTTTGAAAAGCAACAATGTAAAGACTTACCTTGCAAATTCTCTCTTTGCACTTGCTTCATGTTTGAGTTGAAGTTTCAGTAAGTATTAGAATAAACCACCCACTCAGTGTTTTCAGAAATACAATAGTTGTTAAGTTGGAGGGTGAGATGTCATATAAAGAATAAGTTACCTGAGGAGCTTGTCCTTGTTTTTCTCCACATACGTTGGGGGAACATTCGACACGACCACCTGCATGTCCAGCTGGTTCACAACTGACACCTAAGCAAGAAAAATATTAAATATTGTAAAATAAAATCGTAAACATTTAGATGCTGAAACCGTGATCAAAAATAAATAATTGAATGTGACTTTGGCGGAGTATTAAAAAGAATAGATTGTTTGGAAATATACAACACTGTGACAAACTGAATTAATAATGCAGATGTATAAAAAAACTGTAAAACAATCTAACTGAAACTAAACGGTTTCAAAAATTATTATAATAAATAAACCACACATACCACTATTTCTGCCTTGCTACTGTGTCCTTGGCCATAGTTGTCTATGGCAACCACGTCAAACTTGAAATATGACCTCCTCATGTTGCGGTACATGATGGCGGTCTTCACCACGCCGCTGTACGGCTCGATGACGAAGCCATCTTTGTTGACTTGTTTGCCAGCAGGAGGCGGGAGGATCAGCTGGTACATCATGGCACTGTAGTTACCGGTGTCTTTGTCCAGAGCCTGGAAAACCAATTACCAACCATTTATAGACATTAACACAGCCATTATTTACATAATAACCACTGTCATCATGAAACATAATCACCCTCATACAGGACTATGACCAGTTTAATGATCTGTGATTATTACGCCTGGATTCAATACCTTATTATCGTTATTACTTTAAGTGTTTGAATATCTGATAAATGCAAAGCGCTGCAATGTTTAATAACTAACCCAGGACTCACTTTTCCCTGTTCTGCATGTCTTACCAACCAAAAACTTTATTTTCACTTCCTATGGATTTTCAGCATGTAACAACCTGCTCCAACACGTTTTACAATGAAAAAGCAGTAAAATAGGAAGTCATGTTTTAAACTGTATGCAGGTCTATTTATCATCTATTCTGTCACTCTGGCTAACTATCAGCTCACACTCAGACTCACTCAGACCGACATTGATTTATTGCAGTTTTTACAAGAGGGAAATGAGGACAGTTCTGAGACACCCAGCTCATCAAACGTACTGCTAAGATAGACCTCCACCACCATTTTTTTTCTTACGATTGGGAATGAAGGAATCTGAGGTAAAAAAAATAATAAATAAGTAAAAAAGGCAGAAAAAAAACACTGAGTCAGTTGTATTGGCAGTCCTGAATTTCAAGTATGGAATTTTGAATATTGTCAAAGTCAAATAAACCATTGCTGAGGAATGTCTAAAATTATTAAACTAACATGCAGATATGTTTTCCAGTTAATGATTTTGTGCCACTGCTTTAAAACTTTGTTCCAAAGAAACACAAAGGAACTTCCCTTTAAGCGTTTCATTTAGCGTGGCTTAACATAGCGTTCATCTAGGGGTGCACCGATAAATCAGCCGGCTAATGTATCAGCATCAATTTCTTTCATTTTGGGAGATCAGCTGATACTTTAATAAAATTGGTGGAATAGATCGGCTTCTCATCTACCTCCACAGAGGTCTAAAAATGAGCCACTTTCCCCTTTTGCTCTGATGTGAGCATTATCTAATGTCCAGTTAAAACAAGTTTGTGTTGTTTCAAGTGTTTTTGCTAGTGTTTGGAACATTGTGACCTTATATCTGACAGTATCAGAATTGCTATCGGCCAAAATTGGCAGGTCAGACTTTTTAACGATGGGTGATCGGCAGAAAACTGCAATCGGTGCACCATTCAATTTATTTAAAACCAAAATCAGCACAACCCTCTGAATAATGGTACCACTACTATATTTTTACTGGTGTTTTCTATATTTGACTTCTTGTTGTGGGGGTACTCAGGGAGTATGGGGGATCAGGTCTGTTGATATGGGCTGTTAAGTCCCTGTACGACGGTTGTCAGAACTTGGTCTGCATTGCCGGTAGTAAGTCAGACTTGTTTCCGGTGAGAGTTGGACCCCACTAAGGTTGCCCTTTGTCACCGATACTGTTCCTAAGGTGTTGAGGGGATCCATTTTAGTGACCTTAGGATCGCATCTCTGCTTTTTGCAGATGATGTGGTCCTATTGGCTTCAACAGATCGTGATCTCCAGCTCTCACCTCCAAATCCAAAACCACGGTCTTGAGCCAGAAACCGGTAGGGTGCCTTCTCCGGGTCGGGGAGGAGGTCCTTCCCCAAGTAGAGGAGCTTAAGTATCTCGGGGTCTTGTTCACGAATGAGGGAAGAATGGAGCGGGAGATCGACAGGCGGATTGGTGTTGCATCTGCAGTGATTCAGGTGCTGTACCGGTCTGTTGTGGTGAGGTGGGAGCTGAGCCAGAAGGTGAAGCTCTCGGTTTACCAGTCGGTCTACGTTTCTACCCTCATCTATGGTCATGAGCTTTGGGTAGTGACCGGAAGAACGAGATCGTGGATACAAGCCGCCGAAATGAGTTTCCTCTGCAGGGTGTCTGGGCTCTCCCTTAGAGATAGGGTGAGAAGCTCAGTCATCCAGGAGGGACTCAGAGTAGAGCCGCTGCTCCTCCACGTCGAGAAGAGCCAGTTGAGGTGGTTCATCTGGTTAGGATGCCTCCTAGATGCTTCCCTGGTGAGGTGTTCCGGGCATGTCCCACTGGGTTGACATGCTGGAGGAACTATGTTTCTCGGCTGGCCTGGGAACGCCTTGGGATTCCCCCCGGACAAGCTGGCCCAAGTGGCTGGGGAGAGGGAAGTCTGGGTCTCTCTGCTTAGGCTGCTGCCCCCGCAACCCAACCCCGGATAAGCGGAAGAAAATGAATGGACGGACTTCTTGTTGTTGCTTATTATCAACATCAATATTGCCTTTTGATACTTCATTTCTATCAACAGTGTTGTGTTTATTTCCCCATCAACAGTTAAGCCAACTTCACTGAAGTCTCCTGGACGTCTTTTGGGATGTTCATGTACATGGATAATTACATGGACACACACACACACACACACACACACACACACACACACACACACACACACACACACACACAAACACACAAAGATAAAACTGGAAAAACAACATAGTTTACCTCCCTTAGGTGTGTTAGTTCTCAAAATGCACCTTTGATTGCAGTGAATTTATATTTGCAGAAAACAAAAGTCTCAGCTTTTCTCAACCGTCTTCGTTTTATAATGACACCAACGTCCAACAGCCTCACTTATAAAACTGCCCAGATGTGTTGGCATTCATGTTTTTCTTTATCAGCTTCATGAAATAACCAACCAGTGATGCTTTGAAATATTTGGCTGATGCCAATTATCTAAAAGTGGTAAACAAGAGCAGTCAGAGTGGTGTCTTTGCCAGGGCTAAAAAAAAAATTGAATAAAATAAAACACATGGATTCAGCCCAGATTGACATCAAAAGTTAATTGCTTCTAAGCTGGGCCATGCCCCATGTCTGTTAAAATTTTCATGCAAATCCATTTATGACTTTTAGTATTGGTGCCAACAAACTGACAAACAGAATAACAAACCAACCCCATCAACCACACAGCTTCTTTGGCAGAGGTAACAATTGGCAACCGTCTCACTGGTATATACGAGGCTAAAAAAAAGTAACACACTTTGTCTTTGAATTAGTCATCAAATAAAAACTAAATATTTCAGATCCCTGTRATATTTGAAAGTTGCGGCTTGTTTTCCATTGTAGTTTTTACATATTGAATTTTGTGTATGTAATGCATGGATTGCTCTCTGCACAGCAAGCACTGACAAAACAATGCTTAATAGTTATGAGACATTTCCGTCCCTCCTCTTGTTGCATCCTTCTGACAAGTGTGCTGTGAGTAGAAGAGCTGCAGTAAAGACAAATTAAAGGAAAAATATCAAAACATTACCATTACCAGAGCCATTTTAAACTTACATGCCTTTTTTCATATTTTGTCATTTTTGTTCAAATGTTTGTTGGCAGATTTAATAGTTGCTTTTGAGTTACAATTTGAGGATAACATAGCACACCCTTTTTATATCCCACAGATAAGCACATCCTCACTCATAGCTCCTCTGGCAAGACCGATCTCGCCTCCTTTCTCTCTCCTCAAGGTGCATTTTAGGAATTGAGGCATCACTGCGCTAAGACAGATTGCTTGGTCACAGACAGCAAGGCGGAGGACAAAGGAGACAAAACTATAAAACAAAGAAATGGGAAGAGCCTGAAAACTCATCTCACTCTGCCTGGTTTTACAAGAAACCAGCAATGCTGGAGGTAAAAATAAAACCTCATTCCCTGACTATATCAGTGCTATTCAAAATGATTCGCACAGGATGACTGCATCACTTGGTAAATAAAGCCAGATTCAGACTTACATATATTATAGGCAAACACATGCTGGTGGTCATTCAGCTTAAACACTGTGCTCACTTCAGACAGTGACTTTTTCAAAATGTGAAACCCTTTTACAAGATTTTTTATTTAAAACCTTATACATGAAATAGTATTTGAACAAAACAATTTTGAAGAAGAAAAAATGGTTGTGAAACGGAACAAAGCCAAAAGTCATGCACGATGCCATATGTTTTTAGCCACTTGTTGCCATTCGTACAAACACCTCATGTGAAATACTGCAGAAACTGATCAGAATCTACAGTCTTTGCACCTTGAAATAAACATGGTGGTTCCTTGCCACCACAATATGAAATATAAAGTAGAAGATTAACTCTTCCTCCGATGACTGAGAGTGGCGAGGCGTGATAGGACTGTCAGCACGAGCAGCGCGGTGAAAGCTACATAGAGGGGGATATTACAGCATGGCTGCAGTGCATAAACCCTCATTACCAAGCTGAATGATGAGTTCATGGTCAGATGAGTCATTCGTTATGTTCTTCACAAGTGAGCATGCCCACGTGTGGTGTACATAAAGAGAGCAGTAGATGAGTGTATGTTTGATAGTGTGAGGAGGGGTTGTCTCCTTGTCTCCTTTGAAGGAAGGGTCATTGCAAATCAATACAAAGTTGTCAGGAGTAATCACCTCGAGAAAATGAAGAAAGTTCTGTCCTGGTGATAGAGGTCTCTTTATGAATAATAATGGCCCCCATGCACAGGCTAGGGGGTCACCTAGTGATTGGATGGCTGTCTCAAAACCGGGACAGGAGAACCCTACTTGGTGATTTGATGAATTTAATACCGAGCAAAAAATCCCAAGGGACAGAGACGGTTTTTACATTGCAATAACCTGACAGCAGGAAATGTCTGCTGGAACGATAATGAGTACAGTCTCTGTACAGTCACAATCGCTCATCAGCACAGTTGTCATACAGCCTTTGTCAGAGCCCATGAGCTGTATCAGTGAAAAGACAAAAGCAGTCTGACCTGGCATCGGTGTGATCAGATGCATATTTTACCTGACAACTCTGCAGCATACAGTGAAAGCCTGCAAATCCCAACCTATGATCAAAMCTGAATAAGCCTTTTGGAAGACAGGTGAAAACATCTTCAAGAAACCAGGGAAGTCGACCAAAAAATACAAACAAACAAACAAAAAAAAAAAACGTTGCCTTTTATCTACCCATGTAAAGTAGCATCTCACTGGACTGTATCTGTTAGCAACTAGCCAAGACTCCAAAACTTTTCCTGCATAAGTTGCAGAAGCCTGCAATTTGGTTGATTGGATTTTGAACTTAGTACAAAAAAGTTGTGCAACAATATTTCGCTCAAAACATTCAGTGTTGCCATAGGCATGTCAMATCCATCTGGAATCTTTCTCTAGTTTTGTCCTGAGCATCTCCAACCTGTTTGAAAAACTGTATATTGTCAACTGCGTGGGAGCTGTAAGTACGTAAGTAAAACTTTATTTATATAGCACATTTCAAGGTAGGGATCGCAAAGTGCTTCAACAAACACAAACAAAAATAAAATAAAATAAATTAAAAATAGACAGAGCAAATTTAAACAAATGCAGATTTWAAAAGGCAAGTTTTTAACTGAGCTTTAAAGGAGTCCACAGAGTCTGCTGATCTTAAATTCAGAGGAAAAGAAGAAGAGAAGAGAGTTCCAAAGCCTTGGAGCCACAGACAAAACAAGCTCTGTCTCCTTTAGTCTTTAATTTTGTCCAAGGAACAATCAGCATGTCTTCATCACAAGACCTCAGAGCCCTGACAGGAGTGTAAAACTGCAAAAGTTCAGTAATGTAGTGTGGTGTCTGACCATGCAGAGCTGTCCAGGTTAAAAACAAAACAAACAAACAAAAAACATGCAAGTGATACGCAATTATTGAAACATTGGTCCAAATCCATCTGTCTTTTTGGTAAAGTGTACTCCAGTCGATTAAATAATAAACAGCAGGGATCTACGTGGTGTCTAATGCGGGCGGAGGTGAAAAGCGAAAATAAATCATTATTTCAAAAAAACCTGACCTTGTTAAACATGGCTGCACAGCTTGCTGGTCACTTGGTTGCAAACACTCAAGACTTCAGTGAGACTGAAACGGAAAAATTACCAGATATCCTGCACTTTATTTTTGTAGTTTTGAGCATTCAACAATCACAGCCCAGTGAGATACTACCTTTAGGATTGTCATGCCCTGGATGACAGAGAATATAAAGACAAACAGTGAAAAAAACATCACCAAACCAAGAAACCCTGAAGTCATTCTGATTGATGGCACCTTATCAAGACTTAATTATTCTCTGCTGTTTGAAGAAAAATTATTGCAATAAGTTAAGATACAGGTACGCTTTATTTACTTATGTAACTGTGGATTTAAATGCAGTTCAGTTTCCTGTTTTCACTTCTTCTCTTATCTGTCCTCTAACTGTCACTAGGCAAGGTCTAATGAAGCAAGAACGTCTATGAATGATCTTAAAAAGCCCAATTAAGCATTAAAGCACACACTTTTCTGCAAGAGAACCCATTTGAGTCATTCTGAGGCATCCAGGCTCATTAAAATACCTTGTTTTTTTTGTGAAATAGAGCTTGGGAGTAACAAGCGCTGTGATTTATTTTTCTTTTAAGATTTTTGAACTGCATGAAGTTATTCTATTAATACAAGGTTCACTCAAGTTGTTCTTGGTGATATGAAGGTCTTCCGAGTAAGAACAAAAGATAGAGTTTTGTTTATATCTTAAAAAAAACAAGCTATTTTTAAGGTCATTTGTTAATTAGTGAATTGAAACATTTTGTTCAATACAAACAACTTAAATAAATTAAAGTAAATCCACACAAGTTCCTTAAGCCCCTCTATGTTCTGTATGTGACAATGTTTCCTGTTCTTCCTGTGTAGGTTTAAGCATTTAACAACTCGATAAGCTTTGGAACTGTACCTGGACTTGCAAGATAGGGGTGAAAGTTTTCGCATCTTCTGTAACCCCTCCAATATAAAGAGGTCTGGTGAAWACAGGCGGGTTGTCATTCTCATCCTGGACATCGATCACCACCTTGGCTGTGTTACCTAGAATAAATACACACAATATGACGCACTCTGCTTTGGTCATAAAAAGGTTTTCTGACGAGCCGAGGAACACGGTGCACGTAGGGTCAACACTGCTCCAACCAGGGCCGAACATCGGCAACAAAAACCGCAGATACGGACATAAACGTACCGACTAAACCGTCTAACAGCTGCATTCACAGCTGGTGGCTCGACTGTACTGACCACAGCAACTGTACCGCTCCACCTGCAGGTGATGATGGTGACGGGTTATTACAACTCAGACCTTATTCAGCTGTTTTCGTTCTGTAGAAGTCATCCAGGTTTTTATGTCTGCAGCTAGACTGGCGACGGATATCCCAGATTTTACTGTGGTGATTAAATCAATGTGACGATTCAGAGAATCGGTGGCATTCTTTAACAAAACAACATTGTACAAAACATTTCTCTGAATCTGACTAATAAATTCAAATGTGTTTAACTTGAATTAAAGCTTATGTGTTAATATCTTCTATAATTGGTGWGAACAAAATAAAAAAACTGGTTTGATCCGGTCTGTTTTCAATTAGATTAGAGTTAGACCCAATTACTTTTTCTCATACAATGCTTCTTTTGAGACTTGGTGTGGGCAACACAGGAAACAGTAGGTACTTTAATTGTTGCTAATTAACCAAATGTTTGAGAAATGTGTAATGAAAAGTTGTTCATGCTTAATTTGATAGTCCTGATATTGATATATTTCCAGATCATATATGTTCAAACATAATTTCAGGACTAAWCATTGTGTTATTGATCATTCTCAATAATTTAATTCCATGAAACAAACTTCTGATGTGGTCAGTGTGTGAGACAAAACACTTAGTTAAAGAGATAGTTCTGCTGTAATCAGAAAGGATGACCAAGCCAAGCTCTGCAGACTAGTCAGAAGGCAGATCTCAGAATCTGGTCAAGTTTTCCCCACAAGAAAGACACAAAGCCAGATTATCCAACAACCATCCTTCACTTAAAGTTAGAAAGCAGGGTTAACGTGCTGGTAGAAACTCATTGATTTGTTTCCAGATYAAACATGCATCAAAAAAGCTGGACATTTGCTCTGAATGACTCGCTGCTTTAAACCCAGCAAGATTTAAAAAAATTCAAATAGCTTAAATGAAATAAAAACAGCATGTGGTAAACAGCATAATTAAAGAAGATAAGAGAAAGCCGTAGAGACGAGCTTCAATTAAGAACAGATACAGTATGTTTTGAAAAGAAGTAGGAAAGAGATCAGAGAAGGGTGAAAAAAAAAACATTCAAGATGAGACGAGGAGAAAAAAGTAAGAAGATAAAGAATTTGAGTCTAATTAGATCCATTTTCACATCAGTTCTAATTAGAAATGAAACCACAAGCAATAGTGTTTTGTCTGCATTTCCTTTTAAAAGGAAGAACTTGAACAGATTTATTGTTGACCTGAACAGCAGGAATTGTTCTGTTAGTGGAAAATAATAAGTTTTCACATTTTCTAACTGCTTACCAGTGTTTTTGGATACTTTAATTACTATAGTTGATTAAATTATTTCCAAAAGGTTCTGTACAGATTTAATATCTTTAGCTAGTATAAGGAAGATGAGCCCGTTTACAAAGGCAAAAAAGGGTAGCTACAAACAGGCATACTGTAGGTTATTATTAGAAAGACAACTGACAAGTCTATCAAAAGAGAAATGTGCAAAATTTAGGGGGGGGGGGGCAAAATAAAACGTAGCTTTTAATGTTGTTTCTAACTGAGACACATTCTGTAGATATGCCACAGAAATAAAATGGAAATTAGTTTATGTTACAYCACACTGTTTCACTAATCTGTGTAAATGTGAAACCTACAAACCCTGGAATTTAAAATAAAACAGCACTTACTCTCTGAGGGAGCTCGAAGGTTGGAAGACACCACCCTCATTGAATCGGCCTCCACTTTCAGCACGTAACTGGAATTAGTCTCGTAATCCAGAGGTTTGGCCGTTGAAATCTCTCCTGTTGTTTTATTTAATGTAAACACATCTGCAGGCAACAGAGCAATACAAATACATGAGGACAAAAAAAAAAGAGGTAAGCTAGTGAGCGAGCAATCTCATTTTGAGGTTTTTAAGAGCGGGGAAACAAAGTTGTGTAGCGTTCCCTGAGCTGTTGTCAGGAATGGTTCAACCAGGAAGAAGCTTTAACAGATGGCAAAAGCTGGAGCACAAGAGAGACTCCCAACAGGAAAGCTCAGAGCGCACTCACCTCCATCATTGCCTTCAACGATGGAGTACACGATGGTTTGATTGACAGCTGCTGCCATGATGACTCCCACCAGGGTTCCAACGGCAGCCTCCTCACTCACTGGTGGAAACCTGGGAATGGATCAGTCAATCAACAGGAACAGACAGAAAAAGTTAAGTGTGCATGTGTGGACAGCTGACCCACTTCTTTTCAAAGGGTAACTGAGATCTGGCAAGTGAAATACAGCTGAGAATTTAATCTGTAAAACATTCGCATGTGTTTCCCCCTCTGGTAAAGTTGGCAGTGGTTTTACCAAAAATTATTCAAGCCGCGTTCCAATTTAAGAATTAGAAGTGCAGGAAAAAGATAGAGCTGAAAATAAACTTTTACTTTTTTTTAAAGTGAAAGACTTTGAAATTTTTGTTTAAACATTTAAATGATGCTTCACCTAATTAATAAATACTGAACAGAACTTTGCTCGGAATCRGGCAGCGACATCATTAGGGATGGTTGTTTGAATTTTTATCTCAGACTGTCTGACTCAATTAGTGCATTTAAAAGCAGCAGTGCTCATTCATTCTACCTGCTTTGTGCTTATTGCCTGGATCTTTCAAGAGGCCATGTCTGCCTTTTGTTATCTCCATCACCTCAGCTGCCTTCCCTAGTATTTGACCCGTGCCTTTCTTTCAGTTCATGTGTTCTTTTAGATGCAGTGAATAGCTTGATGACATTGCAATGAAGCTTCTACCTCGGTGTATTTTATTATCTGTAAAACCGACTGAGTTGTAGTGATTATATTATTAATTTAATTAGCTGTGATGGCCAGCTTGAATTGGATTGGCTGCAAAAGTTATTCAGTTATACTTATACTTTAGTTATACTGTATACTTGTTACATTCCACCACATTCAATAGAATGTATCCAGTGGTTCATGAGATAATTTGTTAACAGGCATATCTAAAAACACAGGGATAGAAACATATCATTTGCTTTTGCCTAATAGTGACAGACAGTAAAAACTAGTTTGCTCTTGAACACTTGCATTTATTTATTTATTTATTTATTTATTTATTTATTTATTTATTTATTTATTGTCGAAATGAAACTACAGAGTAATAGTGGACACAGGATTTAGTGAAACTAACCCTGGTCAGATTCATCAGCAGGAGATATTCATATTAATAGACTGTAGTTTGCAATGGTGGTTAATCACACGTGGCTGTTAACCAGGAGTGTATTTTCCATGTGACGGATTATGTTTTACAGTTTAATCTATGAAAGGTTTCTAGTAAAAGTTTTTTTAATACCAAACAGTGCAAAAGTTTAAAACCATTCCTCGTTTTTTTATGCTTTGCTTCCAAGGAGCCAGACTTTCCTGGAATCTTTTAATGCGGTCCTGATCAATAGTTGACCAGGGTTTCTGAAGGTCWTTCAAATGTTTTCCCCACAAACTTGTGCTGCCTTTAAAGTCTTTTCTGGCCAGCCCTTGTATATGACCATGACAGCAAATTGTAMAATCTCTGTCATTTTTTCTCTTCTTTTTTATGTGCACCTATATTATACTTTTCGGGATTGCAAGAGGGAGGTGGTGCCTTTTCAAAAAGTCAACAGGTGAAATGCTGAATAGACCTTGGACAGGTTTTTAGTCCATCATCAACATACACTGTATTTAAAATCRCTTCAGAAAGAAATCACTCAAGATTATTTTAAAATATCACAAGAAAGTTTGGCTTTATGACAGCTAAGTATAAAAAAATGACAAATGACTGGAGATTTTTGCTTTTGATACTTTTATGATGATGATGATGATGATGCCTTTATTGTCACTGTACAGAGCACAATGAAATTACTTTTAAGAACACCCATTCAAGAAGACACACACATGACAAAAAACAAGGGGGAACAGGTGAACAGGTCATGCGGCAACCAGCAGGGGTCGTGCTACCTTTAAAAAGAAAAAGAAAAATACCACGCAAGGATTGATGAGGGAAACAAACAAACAAAWCATCATATTATATCAATGAAATGTGACACACTATGGTGTTTATAGGAACAAAAACCCTCTGCAGAGCAAGAGCACATTTATTAGCCAGAGAAGTAGTGAGTTTAGAGGGTGTGTATCTGAAGCCCTGAATGTTGTATGCACTTGTGCGACTATCTGAAGAATGAGACCAAAGAATCTAGTCTACCCCTGCAAAAAAACAACAACAAAAAAACAAACAAACAAACAAACAAACAAACAAACAAAAAAACCCCAAAAAAACAAAAACAAAAACAAAAAAACAAAAAACAAAACAAAAAAAAAAAACCAGTTCAGCTGAAGTTCAGAATACTAGTGTTGAATTGTTCATCCTGTGCGGCTTCAGAGTGACCTTCAGGGGACCAGATTACAGACAGGAGTGAGGGGGGTAGGTGGGG